GCTCTAGTCTAAGTTGTGCAGTTTAGTTTTTTCCTTTGCTTGGTCATGTGTCAGTTTTCCTAGTTGCTTTTATAGCTTCACACACGTGCATGCTCTAGTCCAAATTGTGCAGTTCAGTTCTTCCTTCACTTGGTGATGTACCGGTTCTTCCTAGTTGCTCCATCGCTCACGTATGGGTGTGTTGTAGCCTCAATGGTGCAAGGTCGTTTTATTTCTTACTTTGTGATATATCGGTGCTCTCCTAGTTGCTCCATAGCTCATGTATGTGTGTGTTGTAGCGTCATTGGTGCAAATTCAGTCCCTCCTCACTTTGTGATGTACCGGTGCTTTCCTAGTTGCTGCATAGCTCATGTATGTGTGTGTTGTAGGCTCACTGGTGCAAGTTCAGTCTTTCCTCACTTGGTGATGTGGCGGTGTTTTCCTTGTTGCTTCCATAGCTTCATACATGTGCATGCTCTAGTCTAAGTTGTGCAATTCAGTTCTTCCTTCACTTGGTGATGTACCGGTTCTTCCTAGTGGCTTCCATAGCTTCACTCGTGTGCATGCTCTAGTCTAAGTTCAGCAGTTCAGTTCTTCCTTCACTTGGTGATGTGCCGATTCTTCCTAGTTGCTTCCATAGCTTCACTCATGTGCATGCTGTAGTCTCAGTTGTGCAGTTCAGTTCTTCCTTCACTAGGTGATGTGTCGGTTCTTCCCAGTTGCTTCCATAGCTTCACACATATGTATGCTCTAGTCTAAGTTGTGCAGTTCGCTTCTTTCTCCACTTGTTAATGTAGCGGTTCTTCCTAGTTGCTTCCCTAGCTTCACACATATGTATGCTAGCCTCATTGGTGCAGGTTCAGTCCTTCCTCACTTTGTGATGTACTGGTGCTTTCCTAGTTTCTCCATAGCTCATGTACGTGTGTGGTGTAGGCTCACTTGTGTAAGTTCAGTCTTTCCTCACTTGGTGATGTGGCGGTGCTTTCCTAGTTGTTTCCATAGCTTCACACATGTGCATGCTCTAGTCTAAGTTGTGCAGTTCAGTTCTTCCTTCACTTGGTGATGTATCGGTTCTTCCTAGTGGCTTCCATAGTTTCACACGTGTGCATGCTCTAGTCTAAGTTGTGCAGTTCAGTTTTTCCTTCACTTAGTGATGTGTCGATTCTTCCTAGTTGCTTCCATAGCTTCACACACGTGCATGCTCTAGTCCAACACTTGGTGATGTGTCGATTCTTCCCAGTTGCTTCCATAGCTTCACACATATGAATGCTCTAGTCTAAGTTGTGCAATTCAATTATTTCTCCACTTGGTGATGTGTCGGTTCTTCCTAGTTGCTTCCCTAGCTTCATACATGTGTATGCTCTAGTCTAAGTTGTGGAGTTCAGTTCTTCCTTCGCTTGGTGATGTGCCCCATCCGAAGTCTCATCAACCCCATCCTAATTAGAGATACGACTCCCCCATCCGAAGTCTCATTAGCCCCATCCTGCTCTGTGTCTTCCCCATAGTCAGAGAAGTGGTCAATCTTTGTCGCTTGACCATCATGGTCGACGAACATAAAATTATATTTCTTCTTCCAGTCTTGGGGAAGTTTCTTCTTCCTACCATCTGCCTGACCCTGATGAGCGGACCCAAGTTTAGCCTCTATGTCTAAGGCTTTCTTGCTGAAAGATGCAAAGCTATGTACGTCGATGTTGGCCTCATCCACCATCTTATTTTTGACATCTATAGGCAGACATCTCAAATAATTTATCAGTACTCGCAGGTCATAGCACACACCAGGCACTACAATCAAACGTTTTACGATGTCCGTAACTTCACGCACAGTCTTGTACCGTTTGGAACAGAGACTGTTTATCGTGTCAGTGGCCTTTTCAGCCCCTTGTTGGTCATGCCACCTATTGTACACAGTCTGTACGAAGTCCTCTAATGTTTGGGCTTGGGCCCAGGCATCAAGGTTTTGACCATAGCCCTGCTGCTGCACTAAGTCGTTCAGCCATCGAGCTGCAGATCCTTATAAAAAGGAAGCAGCGACTATAACTTCCTGCTCTGGCCTTGTGAGCTTGTGCCTCACATAAGTGGGCACAGTCCTCACCCAAGTGTCCAGGTCCTCTTCCTTTTTCTTGGCGCAAGAAAAAGATTTAGGACTCAACGAAGGGATCTTGGGCATCCACTACATAGGTTGGATTGGCCCAAGAGGCTGTTGCAGTGGCTGCATACTCATTGAGACAGGTTGCTGCACGCTAACATGAGCCTGCCCTGACGATGGGACTGTAGCTGCCACTGTCGTTGATGGTACAGAAGAAGTTCTAAGGACCGGACCACTAACTGCTACTAAACCACATGGAGGGGGCATACCAAACATAGGAGAAAAAGAGGGCCCTACCGACGATGGCATCACTGAGGGACCCGCAACCGAAGGGGGAGCTACAGCATTCTGAGGCTGCCTCATCATTGGACGAGGAGCCCGCAATGCAGTCAAAATCCAGTTCTGGCCAGCCACTAGTTCAGCAAGCACTTCCTGTTGCACACCCTGCGTTTCTGCCACGCAAATGAGCGAACAACGCAGCGCTTGTAACGCAGGATCAAGTGTCGACTCGTCTAGTGCCTCTAATCTACTTAGCTCCTAGCTCCTGCCTCCTGCTCCCTAGTCTAGCTTTCCTCATTATTGCTTTTTGTCTCCTCTCTGCTGCCTCTCTCAATTGCCGCTGCAGTTCGTCATGAAGTTCTTCTGCTTGGAGGATCTCATAATCCTCTAGTGTGAGTTGAGTTCGCTGGTTGACTTGCGAACCAGCCAACTGACTAGCAGTACCCTGTTAGATACCCTGACTGACACCTGACGAAGAGGCCTCGGACAAGGCCTGCGACACCGTAGAGGAGGTAGCCATTGCGGCCTCTAGGCTGGCTGTCGCTGACCTAACCCTCCTTAAAGCCGCCCTTTCCCTAGCTTCCCTCCACAGCCTCCTTTCCTCTCCTGGACCTAACTATGGAAAGTGATCGGCCGACTGAGAGCAGTTCTACAGGTAACTCTAAGAGGTTCCACTAATCGTTCCTCCTCCTCACTACTGCCTGCATCACTCATGAGCTACAGTGTGTGTGATCTAAACTAGAACCCACACTGGATCCTACCTCAGCATGACACACAACCGATTAATATCCAACTCTAAGTTCGGTCAGCCTGAAGGGTGGTCAAGTGGTAACCAGCAATCAATGTCAGGTCCTACAGGAGCTACTAATTCTATTTCTAGATTACTATGGAACAGACTGCCTGCAGCATAGAAGACTAACTATCTGCAGCTCTGTTAGTTGTCAGTCAAGCCCGTAACAACTAAATAATCAAAAATAAAATAGCGTCACCTGCAAAGATGCATGCTGGATGGAAATTTTATATTTAGTACCTTTGCAAACAATTACCGGAAGCCCCCCTCTCCCTGTGTCATTCTTGAGTGGTCACTTTGTGTCAACGCCCAGAGCATCTGGTTAAGCGGCGTGTCTGAAGGTGTGCAATCCGGCCCACCCCTGTGCCCCAAGTCTATGCTAAGCTTGCCAGCCCCTGCACCTTGTTTACCCTCGCATGCAACGAGCCTTACTTCCGGTCTGATCTGGCTGATCAAGAGGCAGTTTAAGGACAACCCCCAATGTTGCATACTATAACGTGCAGACCAGAATAAGAACCGACCTCTCAATACAAAGTACAAGATAACGCAGCGGAAGACTAAGATACGAATGATCCAAACAATCAATATTGCAATGCAGCTCTGAACACACATCATCATCATCGTTATCTGGTGTGAAGGGGGTCTGGCACTTCACACAAGAAGACTGCGCCAGCCCCAACCATACACAGACGAAGAAGGAGGGGTTAGACGAAAGAGGAGGGGAAGATGGGAATGTCGTCAACACCAAGTTTCGGTACAGGCCCAAATAGTCCCTCGTCGAAATGTTTGAATCCCAATGTCCAGTCTGGATCCAATGTCGTCAAGTCTCAAGTCACAACTCTTTCTCTCTCTGTCGTAGTCTGAGAAGTCAGGTGGCGAGAGGGAGAGAAGAGATGGTGGACTTAGAAGAGGAAGAAGAAGAACTCTCTCTCTCTCTGTGTCCAGTACTAACCTGTGAAGTTGGCGCCTTGATGCAGGTACCTCGAAGATGGAGATGGAGCGATGGCGCCACACGTAAGTACCACTGGCCTCCGCCAGTATCTCTCCCCACTCTACGATCTACCACCTACCAGCGCCCAGCGCTGAAGACTACTCTATGGCTATGGGCGCCCAGCGCCGAAGACTACAGCTAGCGCTAATACTACTGCCTAGCGCTGAAGACTACTGCAGCGCTCCTCCTGAGTGCTGCGGCCGAATCCTGAAGACTACTCGTGCCTACTGAAACTCCTCCCCRTGAAGTGCCTGGGAAGCGCCCTATGAACWACCCGGGTGCCTCCTGACTGCAGGCGAGCAGTCCAGGAGGCTGCTCTTGCCAATGCCGATCGGAGGCAGGGGCTGCCGCTGCAGCTCCTGCTCAAGCTCGTGAGGAACAGGCTATTTCTGGCCTGTTCCGCATCCCTGTTTACGTGCCTGAGTCTTAGGGGCGGTTGAAACAATGAGGGCCTGAAAATAGCCCTCCGTTTCAAGCTGGAAAAACTATGGGAAAGACCCAGAAATAGGCTGAAACGGAGTAGGGCTTGCAGGCCCTCGTTTTTCAGCTTTCAGACTGAAACGACCGGGGCCTGTAAGCCCTAAGTTTTAGGCTTTTAGGCTGAATGTCCGGGACGGGCCCTACAGGGCCCGTGTGGCTATGCAGTATGCCACACCCCCCCCTCCTTGAAGAACCGAGCTTACCTGCGAGGGCGAAGCTGTCTGTTTGAGGGAGGGACCACAGTCCGGGTGGGAGGGGCTGGTCGTGAAGCTTCCTGAGCTAACCTCCGCTTTTCATAATGCGCGTAGATCAGCGGTGCGGATGCTTTCAAATCTGCGCCTGAAATCCACCGAGTGTCGTTGTGATCGCATGCTTTGAATGTGACTTTCTACTGCCGCGGCTTGCTGCCGTACTTGCGATCGGAGATGACGTGGTCAACTTCCTAATGACCATCCATAGAAGGAGGGTCCTACGATCGTTGGCCCGGAAAGTCGTCGCTCTTGGCTGGAGTGTATGTTGCCAGCTTCGAGGCGTGGAAGACCAGATGGACCGTCAGATGCTCTGGAATGTTGATCACAAATGAAGGGTCATCGGGCTCATCGCCCGCGGCTGCTGTCACAGACCAAGGTCCAAACCACTTGGGAAGTAGTTTGCGTGAAACGTCGTGTTCCAATGCAAACTCTTCCGCGGAGACCCAAACCAAATCACCGTCGCGGATGGGACATGGTACGCGTCGCCTGTTGGCTTGCTGCTGCATGCGGACTTGAGCCTTTTGCATATTTGCGCGGGCTTGAGTCAGCAATTCCCTGTACTTCCGAACGGAAGCGGGAGAGCAGGCAGCGTCAACGTCAGATGGTCGAGGGAGGAGAAGGTCGGCGAAGATCCGATTTTTCCGTCCACCGTGGTGCAACTCAAATGGAGTCACGCCGATCGCCGGATGCACCGAAGTGTTGTAGGCAAACTCGATGTCGGGGAGGCGGTCAACCCAATCTTTCTGGTCCGGACGGATGAGCGTACGAAGCATCATTTGAGCGGTTTGATGTGCCCGCTCCGTCTGCCCGTCTGCCGAACCGAACTTGGTTTCATTGTTGTGTTGGACTCCTGCATGAGAGCAGTCCAAAATGCCGACAGGAAACGAGTGTCACGATTGCTGACGATGTCTTCTGGTACACCGTGGCCACAAATCCAACCAGTGTGCAGGAGGCATGCCAGCTCGGGAGCCGTGGAGTAGTACTTGGAAGGGAGAAAACGCGCGTACTTACTCAATCGGTCCACAACCGTGAGGATGCCGTCGTGCCCTAGCCGGTCGCGAGGAAACGGACCGGTGACGTCCATGGCAATGGAGAGACCGGGTTCCCGTGGGATAGGCATCGGTGTAACTCGCCATAGGGATTGCGGTTGCGGGGTTTGCTGCGTCGACAAACTTCGCACGACTCGCAATACCGAGTGACATCGGTAATGAGGTCAGGCCATCGGAATCGCTGTCGAAGTCGTGCAATAGTGCGGTTGACACCGAAATGGTCGGCGAGTCGCGAATCATGATACTCGCCGAGGAGGCGAGTCTGAAGACGACGGTCGCGTGGGACACATAGTAAGTCCTTGCCTCTCGAGTGGAGGAGCAAGTACCCGTCGGCAATGCGATAATGGCTGGCCGGCGGATGATCCGAAGATAGTTGTGCATATAGCGTGGCGAAGTCCGGATCAGACTGATGCCCGGATGAAGTGTCGTTGAAGCTCCTCGTCGAATACGAAGGCATGATGTGTCATAGCGCAAAGATCAGGTCTTCGCGAGAGTGCATCTGCTGCGCGATTTGAGAGGCCGAGAAGATGTTTCGATGTGAAGTCAAATTGGTCGATGAAGTACATCCACCGTCCGATCGTGCTGCTCACCGTATCTTGCGTCTTGTAGTAGGTCAATGGATTGTTGTCCGTAACCCATGTGAACCTACGACGCCCAAGGAGGAAGTGTCGCCATCGTTTGAGAGTCATGACGAACGCGAGTAGCTCCTTCTTCCTTGCATCATCAAGCGAGTTGATGGGAGACACTTCCTGGCTGAAATACTCCACAGGGTGCCAGTCGCCGCCGTCGTGTTGTTCCAAGACTGCCCCAATGCCATAGCCGGAAGCGTCCGTAGTCACTCTCGTCGGCAAGGTGGGGTCATAGATGCTAAGGACGGGTGCCATGAGCATAGCCGTCTTAAGTGCTTGGAATGACCGGCGTGCGTCGTCATCGAATACGAATGGCACCTTTGGGGACTGTAACCTCGTCATAGGTGCAGCAATCTTGGAGTATACCCCCATCTCCTCGATGTGGTCTCTGATCATGGAAGCTCGTATGCTTGCGGCGGATACCACGTGGCAACTGATCGAAGGATGAGGAAGAGGCACCATGCATGGAACTAATACTCTGTTCCGATCAACGTGAACGGTGCGGTTGAAGAAGTTCACCGGGTGATCCTTGCTTCCCAGCCATGACATGCCCAAGATCATGTCGAATTTGGTGTCCAGAATGTCAAAGGACACCGCCTCACTTGCGTGAGGGGCAAAGTGCACTGGGATGCTGTCAATGCACCGGTCGATTGACTTGTGCCTGTGACCGTCCGCCAATGTGACTTGCGTAGGCTGGGGCTTCCTCCGGACACGTGGTCCAAGGCCGGTGCGCACCATGAAGTCCTGCTGATGTAGTCGCGAGATCCTCCGCAATCAATCAAAGCGTTGCAGATCGCTTCTCCGATCTGAATGCGTACATATAGCAATGGTGCGTCGATGTCGTCGTACCATTGCGTCTTGAACTCGCGCTCGATCTTCACAATGTAGACGTGAAGGTCGACAACCTCTACTCCGGCGTCCATCAACGGAGTCGGTACTGCAGTGTGCAAGTAATCCCGCAATTGTGCCATGAGCTCGTTGCAATGCGGTTTCGGCAATCGTCCGGTCGGTGGAACAGGCATCCACTGGAAGTCCATGGACGTCAATGGGTAGAGCACCTCAAGTCTTGACCACGACGATGAATTCCCGACGGTAATTGGCGGCGAAGCTGCCGAATCGGTTGCCGATGGTTTTGAAACCGTGCATGCGGTAGATTGTTGCACGTGGAGCGGTTGGTCCAGCGGTGGAACCAAGTGGACAGCATAGTCCTCGTAAGTGTAACGAGAACCTGCGACATTTGCATCCTCCCCAGATGTGCAGGAGGCCGCTAGCAAGGCGGCCGAATCTGGCGGAGTAGAAGGTGGAGTCGCCTCACCTTCCGCGGAACTCAATTTCCCGAGTTGAGGCGGGGTCGCACATCCTCCTTGCCCTGATCATGGCACAGGGAGGTCTTGTGCTTGGTGCTGTTGCACCAATAGCAGTTGCCGTAGCGGCCGCGGACCTTGTACTCCGCCTCGGTCAAGTCGAACTTGACCCATGGAACTTGTACTGGTTGTCCATTTCCGGCCTACGATGCGGATTTCGCCTTCCCATTGTTGCGGGACTTGTTGTTGCTTCGCGGCTGGACAGCAGCCACCTGATCTCCGTCACTCGATGCTGGAGTGGCTGCTGGGCTATCTCCACTGTCCGACTGGACTGCAGCGAAGTGCTGCTGTCGCGGACCAATTCGTACCTTCTCCACATAGGTCGGCTGCCATGTTGACTTCTCGTGTGCAGCTGACCTATTGGTCTTGATGATTTCCCTCGCCTTGTCAATGATCTCAGCGAAGGTTGAGTACTGCTCGCGATCACCAAGAGCCTGGCTCAATGCAGCACAGGACATGTTGTAGAACTCACGGCGTAAATGCATGAATGGCAAGTCCAGGTTGGGCACTGCCGCAATCTTCTGCCACTCTGTGAGCCAATCCCGTGTTGCGGTGTTGCCCTGTGACATGGTGAACAGACGGTTGATGGCAAGTGTTGGCGCGTCGTCGACGATGAACCGCTTCTTCCACAGCCGTGTCAGTTCCTCCCATGTGATTTTGTCCTTCAAGTCCGGTACGTCGACGCCGTGGGAGGTTGCCAGGTGGGTCAACCAGGTCTGGCATCCGCCCTTTGAGTTCATGAACAGGGGGCCGATGTACGCGTGCTTAGCGACGGGCAGAATCCTGAGTTGCGTTGTGAATGCTTCCCACCAGAGGACCGGATCCTGCTGCGTGTAGTCGTCGAACCTGTCCAGTTGGAAAGTTGGCATTTTGTGCAACTTCGGATTGCCATCTGCGTTCGTCGACTGCAGCTGTTGGAACTCGGTCTTCAAGGTATGCAGCTGACTGCTGATGGTGGTTGGCGCAGCGAAGGTGCTGATGTCGCCGAGCATTGCCACTACGTTGTCAACGCATTCCTCCAGTTGGCGGCTAGAGGATGCACTGTTGAAGGCCCCAGCATCTGGTCTTGGCGGAACTTGTTCCAAGTCATGTACACGGGCGTCCAATGCCCGTGTGGCATCCTCGTGCTGAGTCTTACGGTTCCGCACGGCCCGCTGGAGGTTTGCGAGCTCGGACTATAGGTGGTTACAAGTGTAAACCAGCCTGGTCACGAGCTTGGCCATGAACTCCTTATGGCTGCTCTTCCAGTGTTGCCTCGTCGCTGTTCGGTTCAAAATGCCAGTACTTGAGTCTCTCGATGTTGTTGGCTTCATGCCGCAGCAGCAGATCCTGGGCTTCCTTTCGGCGAGCCTGGGCATCTGCATCTGCTTCGGCCTGTAGCCGCAGCTTCTCTGCTGTTGCCGCTTCTTCAGCCTGTAGTTGGGCAGCCTTGGCTGACAGCTGGCGTTGTTCCTCAGCCTCGATTGCAGCGAGCTGAGCCTGGAAGCGCTTTTTGTAGTCGCCAATGGGCTCATTGGCCAGTTGGCCTGGCAGGCCCGTCATGTTGCTGATGTGGCACTGCTGACGTGGCCCTGTGTCTGACGTGGCACTGCTGACATGTCACTGTAGCTGACGTGCCACTGTACCAACCCGGAAATGCATGCAAAGGGTGGGTGGGAGGGAAAACGCAGGTAGGAAACCAACCCAACAATACTTTCCTCCGGCCCTAATCAACAGATAAAATAAAATAAAAAATAAAAGAGGACTACTTCCTTTTTTTTTTTTTTTTTTTGTATATCTATCGATCTATTATGAGTAGGACATGTCAGAAGAGTATTATGAACGAGATCTAGGCTAGGTTCCGCAAAGTTTCGGCTTTTACAAACTGCGATCTTAAAAAAAAAAATTGCGAAATGGAGTAAGGATGCGATTTTCAGAAAAGAACGAAATCCAGTTTCTGAGAATATAGCAACCTCCGAATATGCCTAACGCAATATTGGTAGGCTTCGCAAGATTTCGGTTTTCAAAAAAAAATTGCGAGATAAAATGGAAATTCGATTTTCAGAAAAGAATAATTCCAATTTCCGAGAATATGACCACTTCTATCGTTATCCCAATATGCCTAGTGAACGAAATACTAACTTCAGAAATTTCAGCTATGTATGCGAAATACCGGAGAAACGAAAAGCTACTATCGGGAATTTTCAGACAAAACAAAATGCGATTTATCAGAAATTTTCAAATAATTGTAACGTAAAAACGAACTACTAATATCAGAAATTTTCAGGTAAAACGAAATGCGAATATCAGAAATTTTCAAATAGTTGTTGCGAGAAAAAAAAAAATTCAGAGATTTGACTAAGTCCTACTTGCGTTACTAATGCGTGATCAATAGATCAGCAAGCTGGCTACTTGATTGAGCGGGTCCTCTGAATGAGAGGTCCGCTCCGATACCAAACTGTTGCATACTGTAACATGCAGACCAGATGAACCGACCTCTCAATACAAAGTACAAGATAACACAGCAGAAGACTTAGATACGAATGATCCGAACACTCAATACAAAGTACAAGATAACACAGCAGAAGACTTAGATACGAATGATCCGAACACTCAATATTGCAATGCAGCTCTGAACACACATCATCATCATCGTTATCTGGTGTGAAGGGGGTCTGGCGCTTCACACAAGAAGACTGCACCAGCCCCAACCATACACAGACGAAGAAGGAGGGGTTAGACGAAAGAGGAGGGGAAGATGGGAATGTCGTCAACACCAAGTCTCGGTACAGGCCCAAATAGTCCCTCGTCGAAATGTCTGAATCCCAATGTCCAGTCTGGATCCAATGTCGTCAAGTCTCAAGTCACAACTCTTTCTCTCTTTGTCGTAGTCTGAGAAGTAAGGTGGCGAGAGGGTGAGAAGAGATGGACTTAGAAGAGGAAGACGAAGAACTCTCTCTCTCTCT